TTAGGGGCAGGCCCCAACTGTGTCTCCTTATACTTGTCTGCTTTGGCGAATGCTCTCCCGTCTTCCGCCTCCTCCACCTTCCTTCGCGCCTTCAACTTATCCTTCACCGGATCCTCCTCTGTAGGCTGCGGTCCCAATCTCAAGGAAAACATGATTGAAGGAAGGATCAGCTCATCTCACTTCACCCCCTTCTCCTCCCTCCACTCCTTCACCTTTTTCACCCTATTTTTGGCCCCCACATCTAACTTTGGCTCCATCGATTTTGTGGGGACTTTCCATGTTGTGCGAACTCCTCCCCCACCATTCATTGATACATAAAACCATCTCGGCCTCCACTCCTTCACCGAAGATAGCAAGCCTGCCACTAGACCCCGGCCTACCACTGCCTGTAAGGTCACCCACATCTCCTGTTGACCGGAGGCCTTATAACAGGAGAAGAATTCCTCCACTGTCATTGCCGCCCCTCCTGTAGCCTGCGGCCAGGTGCTCGCACAGGCCATTAGTATTTTCCAGGCGTTCGGCATCAACTGCCCTGGCGCCACCTCTAGCTTGTTAAGTACGTCCACCACTATTTGAGAGAGTGGTAACCTCAGATCCCCCCGCAGTGCTTCCTCGTATAAGGTGAATTCTCCCGGCTGTACATCTGATGCCCTCTCCTTAAACGTGGGCAGCCTCAACTCTATTTCCGCAGGAATTTGGTACTTCCTCCATACCTCCTCCAACTCCCCCGCTGTAAACATAGATCTGTCTGCCTTGGTATGCCAGTGGTCTGGCTCTACTTGGCTAATTGGCCTAACGGCTGCGATCATCATTGTTGGACGAGCCCGTGCCCCTTACGCAGCTCCCCTCTCCTCCCTCCTCTCCACTCGATACTATTCCACCAACTCCACTACGTCGTCTTCCCCCAAAGAGTCTAGTCTCATGGTTGGCACTTCATCTCGAGCCATTCCTCCTACGTGTCTGCGTATAGCTTCGGACGCTAGCACAAGGAAATTTGCAAAGTGTTGCAGAGGCGTATCACACAAAACAAATGAGTTCACTTCTGGGATGTGTTGGTTTTTTGCGATAAGGTAGGTAAAGCGAATAACTCCAAATACCTACGGTTTGCCTATATTCCAAGGGTCAAGATTAAATTTCACTAGTTTGAAAAAATTTCAAAAATTTTCGCCCCTGCCTCTTCAACGCCCTATATTGGCCTATTTCTTCATTTCCTACTAACGCACCACCTCCCTTATTACGGGATTGTGCCACGTGTACGACCACGATCCACTACTCTCTTCCCCTTCCTTGTCTATTGCACTTCATATCGTCACGTGCCACGCCGCGCCTCGAGCCCCGCGCGCTGCCATTTTCCCATCTCACTGGGTCGCCCTTCGCGGTCGGCCCTCCTCTCAGTCAGCCTTCTTACTCGATCACCCTTTGCTGTCGGCCCTCCTCGCAGTCGGCCTTCTCACTCAGTCACCCTTCGCAATCGGCCCTCCTCGCAGTTGGCCTTCTCACTTGGTCACCCTTCGCAGTTGGCCCTCCTCGCAGTCAGCCTTCTCATTTGGTCACCCTTCGCGGTCGGCCCTCCTCGCAGTCGGCCTTCTCACCTGGTCATCCTTTGTAGTCGACCCTACTCCCAGCCGGTCTTCTCTCACTCGACCACCCACCACCCCCGTCTTCTTCCTTATTCCCTTCGTTGGACTGAAACTACACTTGGGAATGGGGAACTACTGACATAGGTGGGCCCATAGGGGCTTTTGGCCCACCACTTAAGGCCCAATTCATGATTCAAATACTAAAGCCCAACATCTTTGGAACCCAACGTTGCACCGAGAACCAATGACATCTGAACATTTGTCAAGAGAAAAATCAGCCACATAAGCAGACAAAGATCCTACAGAGTTATTGCACCACACATCAGCCATTAATGAGGTTCCCTGCAGCATTTATTACGATAACCCCTTCACGTCGGAACAGAACATCCTCACCATGATCAAGGCAAGCTAAAACATAGACTTTCGGCCAACATGACAGGTCAGAGTGGATAAGGAAATGATGAACAAAGGATATAAGCAGGTTTCTAAGTAAAGAAAATGTTAAGTTCTTTATCACCATCCTATCTCTATTTTCTGTTGATCTCTCCTCTCTAACTTGCTCGTCGGAGGGTTCATTGGGGGACTTCCGTTCCCCGTTGGACTCTTGTGCAGGTTACTCAATGGGCCCAGCGATCGGACAGCGGTGTAGGAGGCCTGGACCCGTCCCCAAGGAATCAGTAGTATCATCAAAAAATATAAAAAATAATTCAATTAAACAAACAAATAAATAAAAAACAATTGTAGTGAAACATCTATAAGTATCATATAATTGAGAATTATTTTTGCTATGATAAAAATAATATTCTACTACCAACCCACAAACAAAACAAAATAAAAGACTCAATTATCCTAGTTATTAAAAAAAATTAAATTTGATATCAAATGTAAAAGAGCAAAATCAAATATTACATAAAAACATACAAACTATGTGAATCCATCACCAAAATATCCTTGAAAGATAAAATTTTAAGCAAAAGAATATAGTAGATAGTCAATGGTCAAGTTAAATTACTCTGAAATTCTTGAATAGAAAAGAATTTTTTAGTTTGGTGGGAAAGTCATTATGAAAATGATACACATAAATAATTTTCTTACACATTTTTTTTTTTTTTGGTACATAATGTTCAACGTTGATGCAATAGAAAGAAATTCAAAAACTTTTTAACCGTCAAGTTTGGTATTGTATTTATGATTTCATTTGTAAAAAAAATTAAAATTTAGACAAAAAATACAAATGTGTGGAGTATTTCAGCCATATCTATAATAATATAAAATTATAAATATAGAAAAAGAGAGAGGGGGAAAAAGAAAGAGCAAGACAATAGTTTTGTATGTATTTATAATCAATTGAAATATAACTGTTTATATAGGAGTAGAGATGTGTGAAATTGGATAGATAAATATAGATTATCTTTATTATATATTCAAATTCAAATTTAAATTGTCTTATTTTGAATTTTGTTGATAGATATAGATTATCTTTATATAGATTTTCAATTCAAATATTTTTGAATTTTGTGATAGCTTTCTCTTTTATTTTTTTATTTTTTTCTTTTTTCTTGTTGATAAGTTTGTATTTGGATAACTATTATTCTAAGGGCATGTATTCTTAAATTATTAAAAACTAATTTTTATTTTAAATGGAAGCGATGGGAGATAAGTGAGTTTGAAACTTAAGTGCTACATAATTTTTTTAAATTTTAGGAAATTAAGAATACAGATTTGGAGGCCTAAGAGCACACCAACTACATTTGCTTATATATATAGTATAGATCTTCAAGCAAAAAAAAAAAAAGATTGAAAGTGATGCGGTGTAAAAGAATGGAGAAATAGTATTGTTGTAAAATAAAAATGTAATGAGTAAGAAAAAAAAAATTAAATATTGACTAACCTTTAACAATCTTAGAAAAAATAATAAAAATGGTGTGATGTTCTTTGGCATGATATAACCTCTTTAGGGATAAACAAGCTATATATGACATTTAAAAAATATTTATTAAAACTATGTAAGGTGGGTAGAGTTTTTTTATCAAAGAGATAGTTTAGGGAAGAAAGAGTAGGAAGAAATGTTTTAATTTTTTGAAAATTGGTGAGAGAGATTATCATGGGGGAGATTATGGAATATTTTGTTATCTTTCCATTTGAAATTCATAAATTAAGGAATAATTATTATTTTTAAAATAATTAATAATTAATTAAATATATTAGTCAATAATTTATTTTTTAATCTATTTTGTAAATTGAAAATTCAATAATTTTAAAATGAGGGTTTGGAGCTCGTAGAAGGTTTCTCACTAAAAATCTCATTTTCCTTATATAACATATAGATATGCTCTTAGAACAATAGTTATCTGATTACAAACTTATCAACAAGAAAAGAAAAGAAGAAAAAAAAAGAAAGAAAAGAGAAAGCTATCACAAAATTCAAAAATATTTGAATTGAAAATCTATATAAAGATAATCTATATCTATCAACAAAATTCAAAATAAAGATAATTTAAATTTAAATTTAAATATATAATAAAGATAATCCATATTTATCTATCCAATTTTACGATTCTCTCCTCCTATACAAACAGTTATATTTTAATTGATTATAAACACATACAAAATTATTATGTTCTTTTTCTTTCTCTTTTGCTTTCTCTGTTTCTCTTTCTCTCTATATATAATTTTATATTATTATAAGTATGACTGAAAAGTTTCACACGTTTACATTCCCCCTCTCTCTATATATCATTTTATATTGTTATAGAAATGCTCCAGTCATTTGCATTTTTTGTCTAGATTTTAATTTTACCAAACTTGACGGTTAAAGAGTTTTTGAATTTCTTTTTATTGCATCAATGTTGAATATTATGTACCAAAATTACAAACAAAAAAAAAATGTAAGAAAATTATTTGTGTATCATTCTCATAATGAATTTCCCACCAAACTAAAAACTCTTTCCTATTTGAGAATTTCAGAGTAATTTAACTTGGCCATTGAATATCCACTATATTCTTTTGCTCAAAATTTCATCTTTTGATGATATTTTGGTGATGGATTCACATAGTTTATATGTTTTTATGTAATATTTAATTTTACTCTTTTACATTTGATATCAATTTTTTTTTTAATATGAAACTTGAATAATTGAGTCTTTTATTTTGTTTTGTTTGTAGGTTGGGAGTAGAATATTATTTTTATTATAGCAAAACATAATTCTCAATTATTTGATACTTATTGATGTTTCACTGCAGTTATTTTTGATTTATTTGTTTGTTTAATTAAATTACTTTTTATATTTTTGGTTATCAAAATCTCATCGAAAATAAATAATAAAAGACAATTAGTGTGGACGATATTAAACCTAAAACTATAACACATCATATGTTTTGTAATTCTATTTTTAAGTTATTCATTTTAAATCATATACATCCGTTTATCGCTTGGGGTTACCACTAGTAATATATATAGTTATAAAGGTAAAATAGTCCACAAAATTATGAAATATGTATTAGAAATACAATCTATCTCCAACTAAATTCAATCCCCAAAATGAAATCCAAAGCAAACAGGCAATGAAAAAATCAAATTGATACAGAGAGAGTCCAAACAATCACAGCTAGCAAGCACACTGTAATGTTCACTATATCACGGTATTGACATAACCGAGATTTATTTGTAGGTTCCCATACTGACAGCCGCTTCTCCAGCATATGGTTGGAAGCTTTCCTTGGCCTTGGAATAGAAAACATAGTAAAGCTCTGTAACTATGCAATTCAAGAAAACGAAAGCTGCTCCGGCTCCAAACACTCCCTTCCTCAAGGTCTGGCACGAGGGAGGGTTATCTGTGAAAACTGTCCGGTACTTGGTGTGATAGGCATTCCTCACCGAACCAGCTAGCAAGCATACCTCCGCGATGAAGAAGAACACCCTGAGAAATATAATTGCTTGTTTAAGTGTCGTAATGTGAGGCTAACATTTTCAATTTTGGTTCTGTCAAAGGTCTGGATTTCACATCACTTTGATTAAAATTAAGTTTAAGCTTCATTTCTTTTGGTGAAAAATTTATTATATTTGATTGTGACTTTGCAGCTAAAGTGGAATTGTTATGAGGTGGGTGGTGGTGGTAGTGTTGGCGGCGATAGTTGTGCTGTGTGGTTAGCATTTTAAATATCAAAGTATCGAAATTTTAAATTTCTAATACGGATATTCATTGATTTTAGAATATATAGTGTAGAAGATATGTGAAGTTGATGCATACCAGCAAGTTATGAAAAGAAGAAGTGCCAAAGACCTGGAACCAACAGGTTTCAAAGCCTTGCCGCAGCAGAAACATTGGCTAGCCACCATTATTAGGACTTGACTTGCCATGAGGAACAACAATGCTACCACACCATACCCTGTTGAAATGTCCGAGTCATACACACAATAGTTATAGTTCCTTTCATTGTCCTGTGTGATCGTGGCCTGTCCAAAGAAAATATATTATCAGATCATTACTTCATTAGGATTTAGGAAAACATGACTATGCTTAAGGAATCAATTTAATTTTTCTTGTGCAAAAGATTAAATCAAAGACTGAGCTAAATATATAAATGAATGCATTTATTTTTGTTAATTGAGTGTCCAAATCAGCTTTCAATTAGGGACAAATTGTAATTGGAGGACCTATAGCTACTCTTTTTTACATGCTAATTTACATACTTATTGGTATGGGTTTGGGTCGAAAAAAAGCGATACTCTTAGGAGCATTTAGAGATTGAATCAACAATGAGAGAATGATCTGTGCTTGAATTGTTAATTATAGAAAGTTAATCTGAAAATACAAATTGTGTGACAACAAAATGTCAATACCAACTCAGCCCTTTACATATGTCATATATAATAGAATAAATATTTAGGAGCGTTTAAGTATAACTTATTTTTTTGTTTATTATGAAAAGACATGTAAAAAAGTGTAAAAATTATATAATACTTTTGGACGGAATATCACGTGTTCATAATCTCTAACTAATCATCAATTTTCATGTCTTTATATTTCTCAATCATTCAACACAATAACACACTTATCTACTTTCTCCACCAATTACAATAATATGGAGTATCATGTGTTTATATTCTAAAACTAGTTAATAATCACAATTCATAATAAATAAGCCAAGAAATAACTTATTTAGAACACATACAGCTGAAATATTAGATTAAAGAAGTAAATAAAGTAAGAATGATGGGTTATGGAGGTTTGAGAGGAGAGAGAGGGAAAGCTAACTCACAGTGCTTCTCCGCTGCTCAGCAGCAACAGCCAACGCAAAAGCAATGATATCAAAGACGAACACCAATCCCAGTATGATTTTCGACGCCATTTGGAGTAATTAATTAATTAAGCTCTCTCTCTCTCCCCTTCACACCACACCCAGATCTATTATATTTTCTCTCTATTACTTCTCTTTACTCTCTCTCTCTTTATCGGCTTTCTCTCTCTACATATAGAGAGAGAGAGATGCAATGCAATGCAATACAGAAATGAGTGTTTATGAAGCAGGTGGCGAACAGAAAGAAACATATAAAACGTAGACATTTCAACACTAACTTGACAATACATATAAACTTAGCAGATCGGACGGCTCATAGAGGATGCGTGAAACCAACGGTTACCATCTTCTCATCAGAACTGAATGCGTAAGGACGATGACAGCCGACCTTGCGTCTCTTTATTTGTTAACTCGTCCTCGTCTTTTTTATTTATTTTTATTTTTAAAATTTTGTTTGTACTACTAACCTACTATTGTCAGGGTCGTTTTTATTTTTACCAGAACAAAATGTTGAGTCTTGGAGGGCGCCCCTATGGCAAGGAGAAGTTATTGGTTAGTTTTGGAGTATTGATGGATACTATTTATTGAAAGACAAGTGTTTCATTGTCTCTTAAAATGAGATAGAAAGGTGATGAGTCTCACTGATTCAAAAAATAATTTTTTAATAAAATATTAAGTCTCGTAGATTTTAATAAATATTTTACACTCACTCAGTCTTGGGTTTGGAGGGCATCCCAAGGGAAGGTATCACGGATACCCTATTCAAATTTTTTAATATTTTGATAAGTTTTTACTATTTTTGTGTTATTTTAATTTATATGTTTATAAATAGACCATTTTTTTTATTATTATAAAGAGTTATAATTACTTTTAAATTATTGATTAGAAAAAGTTGTTTCCCTAGCACAAAAATACCACAAATTTGATTTTGACGAAACTTTAGGTAGCTGCTGGCAGCAGCAACCATTATAAGTTATTAGCAAAATGGAAAGAAAATAAAAGAAAAAGATTGCTAGCCTTTCTTTTGGTTGGTAGTGTCTAGAAGTGTATGGAAAACTGAAATGAAGTCCGCAATTTTACTCAAGCCAATAGGTAAGAGATTTCTTACTTTTAAGTGAGTTCTTGATGAAATTTTTTATGATGTTTTGAATTTTTTTATTTTTATTTTTTCGAAGTGTTGAGGACTTACAAATGCTTGCTTACTTGGGTGACACTTACCATGGGTTTGAACTTTATTAGTATGGTTGTGTGTATGAGTATTTTATAAGATCAAAATAAAGGGAAAAAAGTGATGTAAAATTAACAAGTTTAAAATAAATAAATAAATAAAAATTTCTAAACTATTTTTTCCGAGATTATTATTATTAGGTATGCAAGGTTAGTCAATGGGCCATAGCCTTCTCCTTGTTTAAGAAAAAAAAATTAATAAAAAAATAAGAATAAGAAGAACAACTCATTATTAGAATAAAATGAGATCTTTATTTACCATTTTTATGATAGACGTTTTTCTTTTCATAAAAGAAATTATAAGAATTCCAAAACAGGAATAAAACATGCCATATATAAGATCAAATCTCCAACCTTTAATATATATATTTTTAAAATAAAACAAAAGCCAAAAAAATAGGTTTGCATTTTTAATTGAATCAAGAAGGTCTGATCATCCAGAATATGTTGCATGTTATATACCACACATTTGAAGAATTAATGAACAATAACACAAAAGTGATAAGCAATGTTATTCAAATCAACAATTATAAAATTAGAGCACCAATTATATTTATTCTGAACAATTTCTCTTATGTATATAATTTGCATCGCGGGATTTTAATAGGTGCCTTGATTGTCTCAAATTACAAAACAAAAAAAAAATAAAAATAAAAAAAGGGGGTTGATTTTCATGCATGGATTTGAGAGGAACAATGTGGAAAACGTGGAACTTCAACTGGGGAACTCTGTGAATTCTCAGATGAAACACAACCTATGTAAAAACTCAGTGCCAGATGATATGAAGCTCCAATTGACAAGCAACATAGCTAGAGAGTACACACTCAGCTTGGAGCCTCCAACTCATGAGCAGAACTTTGTGCCACAATGCCAGCAGGTGGGTTTATTTGTAGGGTTAAATTAACTGTCGGCCCCTAAAGTATCCGTTTTGTGTCATTTTAGTCTTCAACTTATTTAATTTATGTTTAAATGGTTCTTGGGTGGTTTCCATTCAAAACTCATAACGAAAGTTGGTGTATTTTTGTCTAAATTTGGATAAAATTTGGTTGGAAATGGTTTCAAAAACCATTTATAAATACAAATTAGATAACTTGTAGACCAAATTGGCAAAATTGAAATATCAATGATCAAAATAAAATTGATCACGTACTTTGAAAATCAATAGTGTATTTAACTTTATTTTGTAATGTGGTGTTCTCGAACTGAGCACTACTCACACAATGAGTGGAGTTGACTTGACCTATCTTGGTTTGCTGGGTAAGAGACAAGATTGAACTCATTAGTCTTTTTTGTACGACCTAATTGGTCAAGAGCACCATGTGCATATGTCACGGTGGTGCTCCCGTGATACTTTAAAACTACTGAATAATTTTTCTTTTACAAATATCTTAGACTTAAGACAAGTTTTTCTTAATCTGTAGCTCCCAACATAAGAAAAAAAGATCAATCTTTGGATTTGGTAATTCAAGACTGTGATCGAATGCCAACATAAAAAATGAAGGATATGTAATGGAAAATTGGATCAAGATTTTCTTCCACCAATTCTAAGAGCTTGGTGACCTTTCCTTGTGATTCTTATGATAGTTCATCAAATAGGACTACACTAGATAGTTCACCTCCAATTCAAGGCACAGCCATTGTCTACCTTGATGACATGGAAAATTAGTTATCAAATAAAGAAGATTTCAGAGGCAAGAATGAAATTAATGGTTTGGATTCATTGGATAGAAATGTTAGGTCTAAAAGTTTCGTGAAGAAGAGTTAAGCACAGAGACGCAATGCCTTGATCAAGAAAGATGCAGCATGCATAAAATACGATGGATTGCTTCGTGAGAACAAAGTGAATTATCAAAACATGATAGTCAAGGGAGAGATTTCAATGCACAATTCTTGTAATTCACGCCATGATCATCAGGGGGAAATAGAAGAAGATGAAGAGTCCAAGCCTCCGTTGAGCTATGTTCACCCAAAGCTTCCAGACTATGATGAATTAGTAGCCACATTCACAGTACAAGAAAGAGTATGTGAAGAACAATTCAAGTAACAGAACATTTTGCAAGTGGATGTGGTGGTGAAATATATTGAACACCATCCCTTGCAGCAATTTTTATTCATGTTCATAGCCAGGTTGTCTACAATCTTACGTCATCTAATAGTTAGTTGTTGATGGTTTATGAAACATGGCTCTGAGTATATTGGCATGATTGGTTCTAACCGTGTCCATGTAACAAATCAAGCAATGATCTGAGCTTTGCCCAAAAAACTAAATATGAAAAAACACACTACGGGTGGTGCTACCGCTACTCAACCCAAATGCAATGCAATCCCAACATAATATAAGAGAGATTCTTCAACAGTATTGGATATTTTGCAAAGAAAAAAAAATGTAATGAAAAAATGGAACATTACATGGTTTTCAATACAAAATAAACATAACATGAACAAAAGTTACAAGTGATACAAACAAGATTCACAAGGTATATCAATCCAAATTCACAGGGTATACCAACAAAGGGATTACAACTCACAACTTTCTCGAAATCAGAGATAACTTACAAAATGACTCCATGGCAGCAACACAAAAAGCCTTATTATGAGTTGGAGCTATCTAGCCTTTCCCATTCAGCAGCCACAGGGCAAGCACTGGCTGGACAATCAAACAATTCATTGGGTGGGTTTTCCTCTCACTCCTAATCTGAGCCAGAAGAATTATGAAATGGTGTTTAAAAATAAGCATTTGACATAAAACAATCGATAAGGATCCATGAGTTCAATAGGTTGGCGTGTTCCGGGTTTTCCGACCAAACAAGAGAAGCTTTCTGAACCCTTTTGTAGCTTTTGGAGAATTTTCATCACTATTCCATTTCTTCCGGGAGTGGATTGGTTCTGGGGCCATTTTATCTTTTGGGGGTGGTGTTGACATTTCTACAACAGAAATTTCAGGTGAGACAGAAAATTTTTCTTTTGCCTCACCATCCTCATCAATGTGCAAGGCAGTGGAGTTCAAAGCTTTCTTAGGTGATGGTGGTAATGGATGTATAGTCACCTCAGGGACAAATTGAACATGGCCATTAGAGACAGTCACGTCTTCAAGAACTGGAGAGGCTTTTGATGTTACCTCACTATCACCTTTCAAGTTATCCAGTTGTGCAGAGTAATCTTGAATATGAATGGAAAAGTCTCCATTAGGTGAATTCCTACTAGAGCTCATATCATCTGAAGTGTCTCTTTCCAGAACCCTATTTACTTCATCCTTCTCAATTGAAGATATGCTATGCAACTCCTTGATATTTGCAGAGTCATCAATTGCATCAGATGGTTTAGTTGCTCGTCCAGTGCTCAACTCTGCTGGAAATGCTATTGCGGCATCTGCACTATCCTTCTTCCTTTGGGTGCCAGAGTCAGAAGAAAGTAACCCATTTGAATTCTTAGGGCCATTTGTTTTATCTGAAGAATTGACCCTATTAGTACCTGGTTTCTTGTTCTCAGTTCCAGATGTCTTCGAGATTGCTTTTCTAGTTTGGCTGGATTTTGCTTCAGTTGATAACAGCTTGGGAGTCACCCTTGCAGCTGCAAGACGATCTATGGTGGAATTCCTAAGAATGGGCTTTTGTAATTTCTCTGTCTCCTTTGGGGACTGAAGTTTAGGCTTCTCATTTTTCATGGAAACTAGTGATGTCTTGTTCTCTTCTGAGGTCCTCTTAGATGTTGCTGAACCACGAGCAGCACTTCTTTCAGCAATTCTCTTTTGACGCTGAATCAGTAGTTCCTCCATTTTCTTTTTACTTTCTTCGTCCTATAGAAGAAATGAGCAAATAAAAAAAATCATAAAGACAAACAACATAGAAGATTCATGCATCCCAGATATTGAATGGTTTGAAATTATTTCAATAGCATTTAAAGTAACAAATCCAACCCCTGAAATGGATGCATTGGAAAACACTGTTATCTACAACAATGTTCCACGGAAGCCCCCAAAAGATCATTCACATCCAATAAATAAATTTTATTGGGTAAATTACATTGACCTCCCCTGAGGTTTCTAACAAATACAGGGACCTCTCCTGTGGTTTGAATAATTACAGTAACGTCCCCTGCTTTACTTAATAATGTCAAGATTCTCCCCTTCTGTCAAATTGTTCTAAACGGTGTTACTTTTTCTATAATAAATTACCTTATTGCCCTTCGTTTTAAAATATTAAAAAATGTTTTTGGATTGGAAGACAGGTTTGGAAGAAACAAACAGTGTTTGGAACAGTATTTTTGAATTTATTTTTTTTAAATATTAAAAAATGTTTTAAAAAAATTATTTTTTTATTTTAAATATATAATTTTTATTTAAATATTTTTAAATATTTTATTTTATCTTGTAAGTATTTTAATATTTTAAACTCAAAACAGAACTTTACACTCAAATCGTAACCAAACACATAACTCATAACTCAATTTAAAAATTATTTTCAAATCTCATAACCAAACACATAGCTCGACACTCCATACTACTTTCAAAACTCTACACTCAAATCGTAACCAAACATATAACTCATAACTCATAACTCAATTTAAAAATTATTTTCAAATCTCATAACCAAACATATAACTCGACACTCCATACTACTTTCAAAACTCTACACTCAAATCGTAACCAAACGCATAACAAAAAAATTAAAATATTTAAAAATATATTTATAAAATAAAATAAATAAATTTTTAAATAAAAATAAAATTTTTAAAAAAATTTAATATTTAAAAAATATATTTAAAATATTAAAAAACAACACATAGATGTATGAATATAATGCACATTAAAATAAATAAATATTTAAAATATAAAAAATTTTACTCTTAAAAATAATTTCAAAAAATTTCAAAACTTATACCAAAAAAATTTTTTCTTTTCAAAACGCATAACTCAAAATATGATTGCACATTCAAATCATGATTCTAAAAATAATTTTTAAAAATAAAATAAATTTTTTTTGAAAAAAAAATTCTTTTAAATAGAGTTTTTGAAAAAGTTTGGTTTTTATTTTTGAAAAGAGTTTGAATCGAATTTTAAGCTTGTATTTGGTTATGAGTTTTGAAAATAATTTTTGAATTGAATTTTGAGTAAAAACATGTTCCGAAAAAAGATTTTTTTTAGAAACATGTTTGGTTCTCTTTAGAATCACAATCCCAATTAGAAATTTTCAAAAAATCTTTTTAAAACTCAAGTCTTAACCAAATATACAACTCAAAACTCAATTAAAAAATTATTTTCAAAACTCATAACCAAACACAAACTTAAAAAAATACAAACTTATGTTAAATATATTTTTTAAATATTAAAAAATTTTAAAATTTTTATTTTTTTATTTTAAATATAAAATTTTATTTTAAAAATAATAAATATTTTAATTTTTTTGTTATGTGTTTGGTTACGATTTGAGTATAGAGTTTTGAAAGTAGTGTGGAGTGTTGAGTTATGCATTTAGTTATGAGGTTTGAAAATATTTTTTTAATTGAGTTTTGTGTTTGGTTACGATATGAGTGTGGAATCGTGTTTTGAATTAAAATATTAAAATTAAAAAAAATTAAAATGTTTACAAAATAAAATAAAAAATTTAAAAATATTTAAATAAAAATTATATATTTAAAATTAAAAAAAATAAAATTTTTTTGAACATTTTTTAATATTTTAAAAAAATAAATCCAAAAATACTATTCCAAACACTGTTTGTCTCTTCCAAACTTGTCCAATCCAAAAATATTTTTTAATATTTTAAAAGGAAGGGCAATAAGGTAATTTACTATAGAAAAAGTAACACCGCTTAGAACAATTTGATAGAAGGGGAGAATCTTGACATTGTCAAGTAAAGTAGGGGAGGTTACTGTAATTATTCAAATCACAGGGAGATCCCTGTATTTGTCAGAAACCTCAAGGGGGGTAAATGTAATTTACCCAATTTTATTTAAAAAAGTTTCCTAAATGCAATATATATTTTTTTGATAAGTAAAATGCCATGTAATAATATCATTCAAGTGACATGAAAAGAAAATGGAATCTTTTGAATACTGTGGAAATGTAATGGATTTAATTTTTTTTTTTTTTTTTTTTTTTTTTTAAAGTATTATCCGATGACCTATCACTCACTAAATGTTTGCTCAATACCTTCTCAGATTTGCTCTTCTGCATTCCAATTCTGCTTCCAGAGACGGGCCTTTTACTCCTTGATACAATCTCAGGTTTGCTTCTTCCAAGAGATCCAACTGAGGTTTTAGATCTTGCTTCTTTACTTGAGGCTTTTCCTCCAGGAGCTCCACTAGCTTTACCGTTGGTTCCCTTATTACCAGAGGATGGTTTAGGGTCAACACCATCAGTTAGTTCTACATTAGGGAGACTTTGAACAGATTTTGTCAATGAATTATTTTTTTCATAATCCATTTCTGGATTCCAAGATGCCACAACTTGACCCTCATCTGAATTCCGTCCAAGCACCATGAAGAGGTCATCTGGTTCAACGATACCAGTAGCTTCAACCTTCTCTTGTGAATTATCTTGCAGGCTTATTTTTGGTTGGGTATCTCCAACAATCTCTGACACCATATATATGTCTGTCTTCAGTTGAGAATCAGATGGGTCATTGTCCATTGAATGAGCATGAACCATGAAAGAGTCATCAATAAGAACATCTTTCTTATTCTTCTCAAGCTGGGAATGATCACCCATGGATGATGACGTGAAATCACCATCAAAGATATTGTGGCGTGTACTTGCATCTTGAGACTTATCTGGTTGGTTACCAGGAAACCAATCTCCTCCTTTTTGGGTCTTCATGGCAGAAGATTGAGTTGCATAATCAGATAAAGCAACTGAGGAGTGCTTTTCTGATGCTTCAGTTCGCTGTGAAAATAACAACTCCTCATATGCGCTGTCTCTTTTCTTAATAATTGGCTGAGGATTATCCCTTGCTTCAAAGTTCTCAACATGGATTTTAGCTTCATTACTTGTATCCCTGCCAGTCACAATAAAGGAATCAGTTGAAGCAAGATGTTTTGTCACTACCTCCGAATCCGTGCCAAGTGCAAATGGTATTCCTTCCTTGGAGTTCTTATTTGTAACATGCTCTTCCTGTATCTTGAATGCGTGAGCATCTATACCATTAGATATTGAATCAGTTTCCCTCATAAGGAGATTCTGGAAAATATCCCAAGTCTCATTCGTTTTCCCTCCTCCAGAGTTATTTGCCACAACATTCTCATTTTCCTGCTCGGTAGCAGTATTTGATCCATTCACAATGCTATGGCGTTTGCTGTCATCTCGTTTCTTGTTATTACGGGAAGTTGATTTATGGTGCCTCTCAAGTGACCCGACAGCTTCCTCTACCTGCTGCTTAAGTGATTCTGCATTGATGGATTCATGTTCATCAGACGAATCCTCGGAAGCACTGCCCTTTTCTCCATCTCCCTTTGAAGTGATATAATTAATATTGCGGATAACAACCTTTCTTGATGATCTTTTCCCATGCTTTTTTCTCTGTACCTGTTCAGTGGAAGAAAGTTTTTTCCCATGCTGCAGATGTTCATCTGAATCACTCTCAGAACTGGAATCACTGGGCTCAGAATAATCATCTTGTTCTAAAGTTTGTGATCTTTTTCTATGCGAAGATCTCTCTTTCTTTCTGGAAGATGATTTGCGATTTCGATGATCATCTGGATCCTGATCAAGGCCCATACCAGAATCTTCCATATTTGGAGGCCATTGCATCTTTCCTGGATAATATGGAGGGGCTACCTGCATACCAGGAAATATGTATCCTTGATATGGTGGTGGCATTTGTTGAAATACAGAACCCGGAAAATTGTGCATGTATTGAGGAACATTGTTTGGCCATGACATTGGTACTTGTGCCTTCCCATCCATTGATTGCACCTGTGCTGGTTTTGGCATGCTATTATCTGCATACAATATTTTTAACAATCAAAGATGCATTAATTTGCTGAATTAACTGTCTTTACGAGTTTGTAGGCAAGTTTCACGTTCATATCTGTGCATTGAAGTTCTTAGTTTTTATAATATGCTAATTGGGAAATAATTAAAGAACAAATTGCTATTATCACTGATAACATACTCTTAACTATATAGACATACACAATGAGTGCCTCTTCTTTGAAAATACAAAGTTTTGATGTGCATCCGGTTAATATGTATAAATGAAATCCAATCCTTGTCAATCACTGAGTAACTCAATTAATGGACACTCTCCAAATAATCATGTGTAGAGATATTTTACTATCATTTCCTTCTCCAAAATTTGTTATGATATACTAGTTTGTGCCTCAATGCAGGGCTTTAATCACTATGTTACAAAATAGAATAACATCTTCAACATTTTTCTTTTGAGAAGATCTTAGTGTATGGAAGCCATGCTCCCTCAATGAAATAGTCCAACAGCGGTCACATCAAATCCAGATTAAGAACAACTATGTTTCCACAACAATCATACAAGTTTGTACTTTTAGAATGACTAAACTTAAGGGTATTCTGGAACAAGGGCTAATCTTTTTTTAGCTTGTCAAACCCAATTCTACTGAAAAAAAGACTTTTTAAGGGGTTGGAAGGACAGTCCAAGGAATAGCAAAAATCCAAGATGTGATCAACAAAGGAATTAACTTTATTTACTAGTTTTCATACAACAGACATCAATAAATTTAGGATGCAGAAAGGAAAAAGAATTCAATCATACCTTGGTTAACATCTGAACTTCCATGACTGATGGTTGAGTCAGATGTTGACGCATCTATGGATCCATCTTGTTTCTTGCTAGGGACATTTATCATGATTCCTTGACTATGATCATTATCTTCACCAGAAAGTATGATTCCAGAGCTTCCCAAGTATGGAAATTCTGAGTGAGAGTATGCCTGCATTGCTGCTACTTCATCCATCCAAAGCCCATCATCGTTCTTTTTCTTGCACAGTTCTATGAAATTTATGCAGGCTTCCCTAAAGAAACCAGGACTGGATGTTAAACCTTAAGCAAATCCAAATTAATGGAAAAGGTGTCTACCTTTAATATCCAAAAGAACATAAAATAAAATAATAAAAAAATCTTCTATGGGATATAAATCTTTGTTAACGACATAATTAAATAAAATCTTTTATCAGGTTAAAAGAATCTAGAATTCGGAGCTTCAGCACATTCCAATTTCTAACACCAAAACATAAATTGAAGTATAAAAATATCAAACTTGTATGTCAGTAAACTAAACATCCCTGGTGTGGAAAAATAGGTAAAAGTATTGGAAATGGGTTGATTTGTTGTATTTGACATTGATATCAGATATGCTTCTCTCACAGCTTTGATTGCAATATGTAAAAACTTTGCTGGGCAAAATATTATCCAGCAAAGCAAGATGGCAAAATTGTAGTCATAAGAAATAACTGTAAGAGGGGGGAAAAAAGAATAAAAAAGAATCCAGTAGGTTAGTTACAATACTGGCCTTCAAATTCTGAATGTAGATTGAAGATGAGTGGGGTAAAGAAAGCTAAAAAGGAAAGCCAGAATTAACTAAGGCATTTAATTGTGGAGTGTCACTGCAGAAGGCCTCCACAAGAGGTGTTGGTGGCATAAAAAGAGCATGATGAAAGGATTCAACTGGGCACCACAAGTCAATTCATGATTTAATATAAAAATTAGTATGTCAAATTTCAAAAGTGTAAGATTGATTATCCATGTGCTGAAACACTAGTTTTCTTGACCTTTACCCCCTTGAGAGAAGTTCTACTTGACCAGAAAACAATTATCAACTCTTCATACCTTAAACGAGAAGCTCCGAAAGCATCAGCAAAAGATATCAGATCGTCTATGTAGTCCATCTCAAATCCTGCAACTAAAGCACGGGCATAGGCCATTGCTTGCTCTTTCCTGAGTACCGCCTTCCGAGTTTCAAGAACACGTTGAAGACGAACCCTGTTCATCACCATCCACAAACAATTATTGCAAGGGAATATACAACAATTGTTGCTTCACCTACGAATTCAATATGACCATAAAGAAGACGATTATTTTACTTGGAACTTTCTTCCTGTACAGTATCACTGGCTCCACTGGATTCACCTTTTGACTAAAATCCACCATCACAAAGAAGGTTAAATTTATTCAGTAAACTTCCAAAAAAACTATTTTAAATATATTTGCATATTGAAGTTATACCTTAGAGGAAGCAGTTGACTTTTTGGAGTACTCATCAGTCGGCAAGACATTCTTGCGATACCATGTTTGGTGATTAGCAACACTCAAGTTGGGGCATCAATCTACAGGCATATAAGTTAAATGCATATAAATCTAATTTGTGAAATCTGTCATACGGTGGATCCCCCCTTATTACAGCCGAACAGTAAAACATTTAATCTCCAATTTAGTAATAATAATAATCATAACATATACACAGTCATCAAAATAAAATTCTCCCAATTTTTAAAAATCCTTCTATAGTTAACTTTTTATAAAGAATATTACATGTTACAAACTAATCAATTTAGTTCAATTACTTGCTAAAAGTACATGAAATTTCTTGAAAATTAGCAAGTTGTTAAAGATCATCGGTAAGTCCAAAGAACACCCCAATAGTTTCGTAAAAGAGAAAAACATTTTTCCCCTATCATATGTGCTCCTTCCACCATCCCACAACACACACCCTTACTAAATTATTTTTTGCCGTGTATACAATTTCTAGGCATATCAATGTGCCAAAAGTTCCAATCAGGAAAGGCAATAATTATGCCCAATTGAAGCTTCTGATAAAAAGATAACTTTCAAATTACTAAATTAACTTTCACTTGCATACATTTCCAGGAATAGCATCCCCCTAATTGTGCAATAAGGGAAACAAGTTGCTCAATCAATGCCTAAAACAAAACATTGAGAAAAACAGAACCATACGGCAAACAATTACTTCACTGAATTGAGTCCACGAAGTAAAAGAAATAATTCATTATGAAAAATTGAAAAATTAATCTTCATCTGTACCTTCTGGCTCTGTTGCGACAATTGTCTGTTCATTTGATTGAATAGAACTCTCAATCTGTTCAATCTCTCTCTCAATTGTAACAAATCTCTCAAGAATCTCGGGTGTGTTGACAAAACACACAAATCTGAAACACATACAACAACAGGAAGAGGCAAATTAACAAGGACAACTATTACAAAAAAACTGTCAATGAGCACAGTAACATAGCAAATTAACCATACTTAGTAAAAAAATTAATCCAACAATGCTAAACAAGCAAAGAACTTTACAGCAAAAGATCCAATTTGCAAATTAGCAACACAATGTATGGCCACAGATCCAGAAACCCATAAAATTCTATGAGAATTACCTTTGTAGAGTGGCTTTGGTGAACCAAGAAGCATTGATCGATGGCGGTCGAAGAGTAATCGAATACCCACCTTTCAGAATCTGATCTTTGGCATATTTGAGATGCAAAAGGAAGGGTTCAAGCAGTCCAGAGGCAAGTTTCTCATTGGCACCACCGGCAAAGATAACGAGATCGCATCTATGACATAGAAAACAATCGTAAGGACACAAAACAGAGACACAGAGTCAAAAGCTTAATAATTGAATTGTTACCTGGTTCTGGTTGGAGTGAGTTGAAACAAAGCATGATCAAGACGAGTTCTTGAATCCATAGAGAGAGATTCAAAGGTTGATGGTGTCACTGAATTGATTCAATCTTTGAACTCTGTTCTTCAAAATTCTTCACATTGGAGCTGAAAAAACAGGGGACAGCACATGGAAGTGGAGGGTGGAAGTGGGGAGGATTTGATGAATAAAATTTGGGTCCCAAAGCTAATGCCGACACCTCCTCTCTCTCTCTCTCTCTCTCTCTCTCTCTCTCTCTCTCTCTATGTTTTTGTGTGGAGAGTATGAATGAATCCAAGGTGTTTGATATAATGCTTGTTTGAGAGCGAGAGAGAGGGGGGGCAAGCTTTTCTGTTCACTTCAAGTACAAGATTACAAAAGAAATGGAACGACCTCTCAACCAACCATTTTCGACTTTGATTTGCTGCTTCTTTTTTTGCGCTTGGCTGTCACGGTCACTGTTAAAGAGTGACTGAGAGGGCAAAGAATAACCTGAAAAAGAAAGAGTGAGTACCTTCTAAATTCCAACTAAACTCGGCTGTGTAAAGACCTGTTTGGAAAACATGAAATTATCATCAGGTTAAGCCGACCATGGCTCTTCTCATTTGACCTAAATTTTTTGAGAGACTTTATACTTGGTTAGAAGTTGATTAGATTTTTTTCAAAAATTTTAAAAATGGTAAATTACAGTAACACTCTCTGAAGTTTGATCCAATTACATTACATTCCCTGACATTTTGAAAATTGCATTCTCACTCCTATAGTTAATAGTCTCATTTTATAAATTCACATATTTATATAAAAGGTAATAACTCCTAAATAAAAAATGAGAAAATTACATTGCAAAAAAAAGTAAAGCAAAGGAAAGATAATAATAAAAAAAATAAAAAAAATAAAAAAACAGAACAAGAAAAGAAAGAGTGCATGAGTTCAATGTTTTTATTTCATCTAAATAATTACAATGATAGGGGGTTAGTGTAACTTCCCAAATGTCAGGGGATGAGATTTATTAAATCCAAACCTCAGAGGATATAAGTGTAATTTATCCCCAAAAAAACATTAAGAGAATTTTATGCAAAAAAGTAGAGAACGATGAATTATATATAAAATTAAATTCAAATAAATAAATTAATTACAAGAATTAGTATATGATATTGTCAATTATATTCAAGAATATTTTGTTTTAAATTAAAAGAATCACAATGAGTCATGTTATTCTATATAAAAATTTATATAAATATTATGTTTGTATATTATTTGGGTATAATAGTGTTAGTGTTATCTGATAATAAAAAAACATAAACAAAATTGGCCTACATATCTTGTTTCCTAGGGATCAGACTTCCTAATTTTACTAATATAATGTAATTTTAATTAATTAACCACATCATGCTTATAGATAGATATTTACTCCAACTCATTAGTTTTTCCTATTCACTTGGAGTGATTGATTAGGGTGATTAGATAATTAAATTATCGCATACACGACCCTTTACTCATCCGATATATATAGATTTTTTGGAAAGATTCACCATTTCATTGTGTTTATTATGCCTTTAGCTTTAGGTTAGTCATCTCATTTAATTTAATTTTTTTTTTTTTTTTTTACACAAATCAATAAAATTTTGCTTACTTCACACTCTTTTGTAATGGAATCATATTGACCCACTCATATGAAAATGCGACATATACAAAGAAAGGTTGTTTTTGACATTATTAGGAGTGTGACATTTTGAACATTGTAGAGAACTGCAAATGGCCAAGCATTTTATTTACACTTAAACTTTAAGCATCAAATGTGTGGTCTCTTGCACCAAAAAAAAATAAAGAAAGAAACAAAATGAAAAAAAAAAAAAAAAAGGAGATAAAGTAAATCCATCATTCCTTGGTCCTAAGCTTGTCAGCTATCAATGTGTGCGCTCATCAAAATAAAGCCTTCAATTTATTGGACTCTTGAAAAATTAATTTTTTTATTTTTTATTTTTTGTGGGATGGACCTTATTAGGTTCCGCGAGGGATTAAATCAACTAGTGATTGATCCACTTTTACTAAGGAATTGTTTGGGATGCGAATTAATTTTTTTAATTTTTTGACTATTTTAACTTAGGACTAAAAAGTCTCATTTGGGATAGATTTTTTAAATTTTTTTTATTTTTGTAAAAAAATAAAATAAAATAATTATGATTTGAATTTAACATTTTATCTTATATGATTAAATAGCCTATTTTATTGACTGAAATGCCCAAACAAGTACCGTAAGCGGGGCTAAGTAGGGGATAAGATATGGAAGGGAGGGTCTAAAAAATAGTCAGCCGTTTAATTATAGTATAAGAGGAAAATAAAGGGGGAGGAATAATTGGATCTTACATATTTTTTAGTCTATTGTTTGTTTATTAAAACTTTGAATAATTTTAATACTAATATGATAAATTAAATGAGAAAAACCTCAATCTAATCTTTTATCCTATGAAATAATTTACTATGAAATAATTTATTCCCTATAATCTCATTATGCATTCATTTGGGATGTGGATTGACTTTTTGATTTTTTGGTTATTTTAATTTGGGGCTAAAAAATCTCATTTAAGATAAATTTTTTGACTTTTTTAACTTTTGTGAGAGAAAAAATGAATTGATTATGATTTGAATTAGGGGTGAGCAGCGGATATACCGATCCGCCAAAACCAACCGAACCGAACCGAACCGATCCGCCGCATTTTGGATGGATGCGTGATGACGAGCGGACGGTTGCGGATTGATTTTCTCCAATCCGCCAATCTGGCAGACGAATGACAAATTTGAAATTCCTTTGGCCGCAACTGAACCGCCGAACCCCCAAACTGTGAACACCCCCAATAATTTATAAGACTTTGTGTTTTCAGTTTGTTTAAATATTCTGTTTGTGTTTTCAATTAAAAGAGAGTTTAAATATTCTGTTGAAAAAAAAAATTCAACTTGAATATCTTTTTTGAATTGAAAAAAATAAACGTATTATTTATCTATATTTTTTGGTTTTTAAATCTATCTCTAAAAATAATAAATAGAAAATATGATATATGCTGGTTTGTTTTTGTTTTAAAAAACAGATATAGATGTAACAATACAGAAACATACAATCTCTACTATTGCTCTATTCATGGTTTTGGTGGTTTGAATTGTTTTTATATTTTAAGAACCACAGATTGTAGTACTTTATTTGGATGAGACATGCTGTGATTGTAGTATGTGGATGAGGCATGCAGTGATTGTGATATTCTAAGATTTCAAACTTTCTTACTTTGGATGAGGCATGTAGTGATTGTAATATTTTTTTAAGTCATTAACTCTAATACTTTCTCTTTTTTTTTTTTTTTGAGGAAGTGCACAAGTTGAATTATGTTAAAAATTTATAAAATTTTAAACCGCCAAACCGATTCGCATCCATCCGCCAAACCGCCAATCCACTCAATCCACATCTGCCAGGTTAGCGGACGGATACGGATTGATTTTCTCCAATCCGCCAATCTAGCGGACGGATGGCGGATTGGAGGTTCTGTGGCCGCAACCGACCCGCGCCCACTCTTAATTTGAATGTGGTGTCTTGTTTTATTGGGCTTAGGAATGGCAACGGGGCGGGGTCAGGGATCACACTTCCCGTCCCCCAATCCCCGATGGTAAAATTTTCTCTGTTCCCGGCCTCGATCCTCGATGGGAAACCTATCACCGTCCCGTCTCCGCCCCTAATGAGGATTGGGTGTCCCTGACCCCGAAATTTCCCGGACCAAAAAAAAAAAACCAAACAGAGAGTGAGAGATCATTATCAACAACATAGATCATCAACAGAGATCATTATCAACAATATAGATCATCATCAAACGATAGATCAAAAATAAATAAATAACAGATCATCATCATAGATTTAAAAATATAAAAAAAAAAAACAGATCAAAAAAGAAACAATAACAGATCATCATCATAAATAAATAAAAAAAACAATAACGGATAAAATAAATAAATAAATAATAGATCTCACAGATCTGAGCTGAGGAGCGGGCGGAGAAGATCAGTAGAGTAAAGAAACGCAAGAGGGTGGAGGAGGGCAGCAAAGGAGATCGGTGGAGGAGGGTGGCAGAGGAGATCGGCGGTGGAGATCGACGCTGTGAAGAACACTGTGAGGGATTGAAATGGCGATCAGAGCACTCCACAGCGGCTCTCTTCTCTCTCTCCCTCCCTCCCTCCTCTCATTTTTCTCACGACGCGAAGCTCTCTCTCATCACAAAAATGGCAATTAGAGCACTGTGAGTGAAAGACTGAAATTGGTGAGATATAAGAGAGAGAGAGAGAGTAAAGGGAAAAGTAACGGCGGTGATGAGTGAGAAGCGACGGTAGTGGTGAGGGAGAGCGAGCCAACGAGCGGTGAGGGAGCAACAGAGAGAGAGAGAGGTGATGTGTTTTGTGTATGTGTGAACCTATACACTAAATTGATCCTAACTAATTGAGACACACACATATATAGAGAGAGGGGTACAAATGTAATTTTACTTCAGGGGAGAAACGGGATCGGAGCCAAGGACGGGCCGGGTCCGTGAAAGCTATCCCCGTCCCCGGCCTGAAATTGATCGGAGATTTAATTTTGAATACCATCCTCAACCCGTTGGGGACATTTTTCGGGAAAAAACCACTCTTATCAGGGACAGGAGAGCAGGTCCTCGTTGGTCTGAGTTCAAATTGTCATCCCTAATTGCGCTAAAAAATTTATTTTGCCTCCGTTTGGGAAGTGGGTTGGCTTTTTGGCTTTTTGGCTTTTTTGGCTATTTTAGCCTGGGCTTAAAAGCTTGGTTTGGGAAGGGCTTTTTGGCTTTTTGACTTTTTTGAATTTTTTTGTGAGAGAAGAATGTAATGATTATGGGTTGGATGTGATGTTTTGTTTGTTATGGCTAAAATAGCATATTTTGTCTTTTTGTGGCTAAAATAGCCAAAAAAGCCCAAGAACCAACTTGCCAACTTGTTGTGGCTATTTTAGCCCAAGACCCACATCCCAAACATAGCCTATATATCTAATCATTTATCTCATCTAATTTATAATATAATTTTTTGCTCACAATTTTATCAAAGACGAATTACACTGACGATCTTTATTGTTTGAGATTTGTATCACTTTAGTATATGACTTTCTAATTATGACATATTTGACCCTTAATTTTGAATCTTGTTTCAAATAAGGACAATTGACAATCCATTTCTTAATTTCAAGGGCAAAGTAGTCAATTTAATAAAATATAACCTAGTTTGACAAAAATAAATATAAAAAAAGTTATTTTTTAATTTTAAAAAATTATTTATACC